AGTGGCCTGCTACACTGAGGTGAACCTTCCCTTTTTGTCAGTGACTGGCTGCTCAGTACCTGGTTGCCCAATCAGCTGTGGAGCCTGCCTTTAAACAGCCTACACCTGGTGGAAATGGCAGCCATTTTGTTCTGATCCTGCCTTTGAGCCCAGAGCTTGTTTGTCCCTGTTCTTTAGTGTAAAGCTGAAGCTGAAGTCCTTTTGAAGTTGAGTTTTTTTCTCTTTTTTCCAAGGTTAAGAGTTCAGTTAGGGTGCGTTTTGTTTTATTTATTTCATTTATTTGGTCAACCCACAGGTCCATTCTTTTCCCCCACATTTCTTTTTATATATACACACAACCTTCAGCAAATAAACCTTTTGCTCTTTAGCAGACCGGCCTCCTCCATTATTGTGACTGTCATGTTGCTTCCCCTATACCCTAGACTGGGGGGCATGTAACACCTTGCAACTTCAGAGTGCCGGTCCGGTCTGCAGGACTTAAAAAAAAAATAGAGCTGGCATACCTGGCGCTGCAGTCTGCTTTCAGCAGGTTTTCTGCATGTTTTAGATCATGAACACAGCTGATTTTAACTGAGTGATTAACTGTTCCTGTAGACACTAATGAAGGCTGGGAGACATTTCTGCTGTTAGATTAAGGCAGTGGTCCACAAATGGCAGCCCATGGGCCCTCTCTTTGTGGCCCCCAAACCCTGCGTGTACCCCTCACCCCCACCCCCGATGGCTGACCGGGAGGTGTAGGATGGAGCTGAGGAAAATAATCAATGCATGAGATGCGGGCATAAACGATTTTGCATCATAGAAGAGTACCATAATCAATTATGGTGGAATGTAGTTTAGTTATTTTAACGGCGGCTCCAGCGCAGCATCCAAATCTGTCAGAGCTGTGTTCTCCACATTTACCGGGTAGGAAACTTTGATCCGCCTTCATGTGGTACTGCAGGGCTGAGCACTGGAGTTATAACCTGAGAACGAACCCGAACCGAATCAGCCCGACCGGTTCTGTTGGATTTGGCCCGTAAATTATGTTAATTGAGCGGGTTGCCACGCGGCGTGCTCCGCTCGCTCGATCAGCCAGAGAGACAGAGAGAGAGAGAGAGAGAGAGAGAGCGAGAGAGAGATTGTCTGCTCAAACAAGAGAGAGGATCGGAGGACGCTCCTCCAACGACGCGTTATTATTTTCATAATTTCATTATTATTTCTCCTGGAAGCGCTCAGGTAGACCGAGTGCTGTGATGTTGGGAGATCCGGTCTTGGGGAGGGGGCGGGGTCAGTGACGGCAGCTGCAGCGTAATCATCTGTCTCTTTTATTTAGGGACACCGAGAAGTTAAAAGGAGAGAGAAATGGAAGATAGAAGTTCTTGGTCCCCTTTATTCTTTTGTTTCATGATGATAAACTGATGTTAAATTCAGCTTAAAGAAAAACTGGAAGCTTTGGTTCATTTTAAGTTACAGGAGGTCTTGTTTCCTATCTGCTCCTCCAGAGACAGCATGGACATGAGGGTTACATAGTGAAGGTCACACAGGACAGGTCACTCAGCCGAGCTGGAGGGGGACAGGTGTTGTCCTGCTTTATATTGCAAGCTTGTGTGTTATGTGTTATGTGTGTGTTGGGGCGACGGTGGCACAGGAGTTAAGTGCTCGCCCCGTAATCGGAAGGTTGCAGGTTCGAGCCCCGCTCAGTCTGTTGCTGCTGCTGTGTCCTTGGGCAAGACACTCAACCCACGTTGCCTGCTGGTGGTGGTCGGAGGGACCGGTGGCGCCAGTGCTCGGCAGCCTCGCCTCTGTCAGTGCGCCCCAGGGCAGCTGTGGCTACATTGTAGCTCATCCCCACCAGTGTGTGAATGTGTGTGTGAATGGGTGAATGACTGATTGTGTTGTAAAGCGCCTTGGGGGGTTCCAGGACTCTAGAAGGCGCTATATCAAATACAGGCCGTTTACCATTTACCATGTGCGTTACTGCCAGCAATCCAAACAGCAGCAGCAGCAGCAGCAGCAACCCCCCCCCCCCCCCCCCGGCCCTCTTGCTTCTGGGTCTTTTGTGTGTGGCCCTCGGACCATTATAATTGAGGACCCCTGGATTAAGGTGTTAAAAATATGAACGCACGGCAAGGAGAGAAGTTTTAATTTCAGTTCTTCTAAATGTACCCAAGGGGGTGCTAGAAGCAAGCCAAACTGCATAGTGACCCTTTTAAAACCTCTACCTTCTCAGTGGCCCGGTGGTAGTGTCTGCCCTGGGACTGGGAGATCGGTGTTCAAATCCTGGTTGGGTCATATCAAAAACTTTTGGGGGGTTAAACCACCACATAGTTCCCGAGCACAGCAAATGGAGGTAAATTTCATTAGTGTGTGATGGTGACACTTTAGCTAGTCAGACTGCTGTTCTAAAATGTTCCAGAAAGCTCCAGGAGAACCCAAAACAGCATCAGTTTGTATAAACGGAAGGAAGTGTGTTGCAGAAAAGAACTCGATTTGACCTACTGAGAGTTTTTAATTTCGGCTGATATAGAGAACATTGGATATATCGGTCAACCTCTACAAATAAGTGTATGGAAAAGTTAATAAAAAAAAACTCGTCCAAATAAACGAAAAAAAAAGAGCAAACAAAGGTTTGATACAAAAAATGCTAATTTTGGTTTTCTGATTCTCAGAAGTAAGACTTTTAGAAATAAGTTGAAATAATAAGATAGTGACTTACAACCAGCTGTTTGAGGCCAACAAAGGACTGTTCCACTGAGCTGGCGGTGAGAACCTGGCGCTTCATGGCTGCCTGCTCTCCCAGGAAACGAACCATTAGGTCTTTCACAGCATCCCCCTGCATCAAATCACATATTTAACATGGGTTGTAAAAAAGCTGCAGCATACACTGAAGAACGCTGACATTTGTACACCAGGGTTAGCCTGAGAGCAAACTACAGATGTTTACGTCAATAGATCAAGTAAAAACAAGTTTTTGAAGGGAAGATGAAAGTGGAGGAATAAAATTATATAAAATGGAAATCAATAAAAACAATATCTTGCTGTAAGAGGAAAAAGCAAAAACTGCAGACTGCTGAATATTTTTTTAATAAAGCTGTAAAATAGATCTAATTCACTGAGTAAAAACCTTGATTTTTATTCATTTATTCAGACAAGCATTCAAACATATTGTGAGGGGAAAATAAAGATCATTCTCAGCAGCCCCCAAAGACTGTACTGAACAAAAAAGTCAACTGATTCAACTTAAACGATAACAGATTGTTATGGCAGATGTGTGTGGCTGTTTAAGGTGGTACAGAGAGGGTTTATGTGATGACGTGTGAAATTTCAGGAGTTTCTTCAGACAAACATGCCACTCTGGCCTTTTGCAACATGTAAAATTACTGCATGCTGTCTTGGGGATAGTCCTACCTGCAGGTTGTCAAACTTTAATCCAGGCATTGTGAGTCTGTTGGTGTCTACGTATGCTGGGCCGTACTGCTGGGTGGCAACAGAGATTAACATCTTCCTCGTCTCCTCGCATGGCAGCCAGGCATCATGACGCCTGTCCACCTCACTTAAGCTCAGTGCTGTTGCAAATGGGTCATCGGTGCCCGAGAATACAGCCTGGAGCTGGTTAAAGGGCTGTGCTTGAGGAGTTGAACTAGCGAGATTTAGAGATGGGACAGTTTGGGATATAGGAGATTGGGGCTTGGTGGTTGGTTCAGTGACAGTGGGGCCAAACACTGAGACAGGCGTAGGAGCTCCGGAGTCCAAAAGTCCTCCTGGGGTGGAAATTGAGGAGGAAGTAGAAGAGCGCTGGTGCTCGGGTGTGAAGCTTAAGGGTGCAGGGGTGGAAGCGGGAGACACATCTGCGTTAGGGTTTGAGATGGAAATGAAGGAAGATGGGGCAGTAAAGGAATCAAAGAAGTCAGAGGCTGGATTGGCCTGTCCGTTATCGGTAAAGAACTTACTAAGACTTGGGCTGGGCTGGCACACCAGCGGGGCAGTCATCTTACTGGGAGTCACTGCTTCATCACTGCCTCCACCACTCCCCATGGTAAAACTAGGGGACTTGATCAGAGTAGGCTGAAAGCCATCAGGTGCCAGGGACTTTGGCTGTGTGCCCTGGCTAAATATGGTGCACACTGGCACAGGCTCATCTTTAGGACTAGTCCCTTTGGGTGACTGATGTTCTGGCTCCTCACTCTTGATAACAACAGGACTATGTGCTTCACTCTGAGGTGAAACCACTATTTGAATTTGCTCTTCTATGTCAATCTCTTCTTTTATGTCATCTTTGGTACATTCTTGCTCCTTTTGATCCACTGGCACCTTAATCTCAGTTGTATTCTGTCCAATTTCACTTTCTTCCTTTTTGTTCCCTGAGGATCCATTCTCCTCCAGCCCACCATCCAGGAAGGAGTCAATAGGACCCACATCATCCTCCTCACTGTTATTGGGCGAGTCAGAGATCATGACACTCTCCATCATCTGGTCATTGAGTCTGTCCATCAGGCTCTCAGAAAGTGTGGCACTGCTGTCCTCTTGTGGAGTGACGAATTCCCCTGCACCCAGGTCAATGCTGTCCTGTTGGAGCAGGATGTCATCTTTGGGAGGGGTCTGGATGGTGTTAGTTGTATCTGTCTCCGGGACAGAAGCTTCATTGCTGAAGTCTTCCACTGTAATGCCCAAAGTAATAGGCCGCTGGGCATTACCCTCCCCTGTATCCATCTTACTGCTTATGAAAGAAAACAACAAATGTGTTAGGTCAGTGATGAATTGTTTTATTTGGAATCTCCAAAACACTGATTTCTGGGTTGAGGGTCAGCATTGTGTTCTATTTTTCAACAAATGATGTTCAAGTGTACTTTGGTTACTGCTTGATTCAGTCTACTATGTTCGAAATCTGTCTGAAGTTTCTGATAGTGGTTGTGAGGAGTGACTCTGAATAAACTAACTGAGGGGAGGATGTGATTAGAATAAACTCGTATAACATAAAAACACTTATTTTTTCCCTTCTTAGACAGCAACGTTCAACTGTGTGTATCTGTCTGCTGAATAACTTGAGTAATAGCAGTTTACCTGGCTAGAATACGCAAAGTCTGGATATGAAATCGTTAAAATTGCGTTGTTTATTGTGCTTCATATTTTCAGGAAGTTGGACGCATCCCCTTCCTGTCACTACTTTCAAACACCTGTAATTACACGCATGCACCGATAACATTGTATCACAGCTACAGCGATAAGGTGAGTTTGTATATTTTTACTATTTCACGCGACAAAGATGAAGCTATGTTGCTCAGGACTGCTATTTGATGCTAGGAGGCTATGATGCTAATGCTACGTAGCTGTATGGCGTTACAGGGCGTAAAATAGCAGCTGTCACACTACAAAAATAACTACTAATAATTCAAAACGAATGGGACACGTCACACGTATAGTCAAAATAGAACAAACAACACATTTTAAGAAGAAATACAAACATTTAAAATCGCTATTCTCTTACCTTACTGCAGCTGGACGAACAAAAAAGCAATGCGCATGCGCCGCGTAGGGAAACAGTGTACAATTCCCCGGATGTGACTATATGGTATTCTTCACGGCTTTTTACGTAAATTTCAAACCCATCCTTACGTTTCTAATCCGCTGTTACGTATTTCAACCAGAGTGTACGTTCTTTTCTCTTGCATTTTTTTAAATCGCGGAAGTGATGCTACTGTGTCTTGTTTTTAACACTACTACGTTTCACAAAAAACAGCAACTTAAAGGGTTTTGGGGTGTCTTATTTATTTATTTATTTTTATTTTAAAGGATAGAACTGAAGGCTGAAACAAAGTGAAGAATGGAAGACGACGCTCCTGTCATTTATGGTCTGGAGTTCCAGGTAGGCTGTGGAGTCCTCTCTTGTTACTCCATTCATTACTCTCCTCAGCTATGCTCTCTTCTGCGGTTCATTATTTAAATATGTTCCTGTCACGTTTTGTTTTTCTTCAGGCACGTGCACTTACTGCCCAAACAGCTGAGACTGATGCTATCCGCTTTCTCGTGGGGACACAGTCACTTAAATTTGACAACCAGGTAAGAACACTTGTTCACTTCTAAACATATACAGTTTGATCTCAAGCACACGTTCTATACCTTCGTTGAAACTTTATTGGTATGTGTATTCACATGTAGTACACCTTTTTCATTTTAGTTTTTTTCACCAGCACATAGCATAAACCAGTCATCATTATTGATGGTTATTGATTACAACCTAATAAAAACTCCACATAGAACACAATGTCTTTATATAAACTAAGCCTGGCCTAATATTCAAATCCATAAAATACAGAGATTGCTTGATGAAATCAATCTAGAACCAGTAAAATTATTATTTGACTTTTAACATAAGTACAGCTTGCATTTAGCGGCATGTATTTGTGTAAACATTTAACTTGAAATTAATTAAAAGTTTTTTCATATGCACATTAAGGAATCATGTATTCCTGTACAATGGAAGGATTACTTCTTTTCCCACCAATAAAGCTCAAGAGTATGAAATCAACATACAGGTGCTGGCCAGTAAATTAGAATATCATCAAAAGGTTGAAAATATTTCAGTAATTCCATTCAAAACGTGAAACTTGTACATTATATTCATGCAATGCACACAGACCAATGTATTTCCGATGTTTATTACGTTTAATTTTGATATTTATAGGTGACAACCAATGAAAACATCAAATCTGGTATCTCAGAAAATTAGAATATTCTAAAGGCCAATGAAAAAATGTTTGTTTCTCTAATGTTGGCCAACTGAAAAGAATGAACATGAAAAGAATGTGCATGTATAGCACTCAATACTTAGTCGGGGCTCCTTTTGCCTCAATAACTGCAGTAATGCGGCGTGGCATGGACTCGATCAGTCTGTGGCACTGCTCAGGTGTTATGAGAGCCCAGGTTGCTCTGATAGTCGTCTTCAGCTCCTCTGCATTGTTGGGTCTAGCGTATTGCATCCTCCGCTTCACAATACCCCATAGATTTTCTATGGGGTTAAGGTCAGGCGAGTTTGCTGGCCAATCAAGGACAGGGATACCATGGTCCTTGAACCAGGTGCTGGTGGTTTTGGCACTGTGTGCAGGTGCCAAGTCCTGTTGAAAGGTGAAGTCTGCATCCCCATGAAGTTGGTCAGCAGCAGGAAGCATGAAGTGCTCTAAAACCTCCTGGTAGACGGCTGCATTGACCCTGGACCTCAGGAAACAGAGTGGGCCAACACCGGCAGATGACATGGCACCCCACACCATCACTGACGGTGGAAACTTTACACTGGACCTCATGCAACGTGGATTCTGTGCTTCTCCGCTCTTCCTCCAGACTCTGGGTCCTTGATTTCCAAAGGAAATGCAGAACTTGCTTTCATCAGAAAACATAACTTTGGACCACTCAGCATCAGTCCAGTCCTTTTTGTCCTTGGCCCAGGCGAGACGCTTCTTGCGCTGTTTCTTGTTCAAGAGTGGCTTGACACACGGAATGCGACACCTGAATCCCATGTCTTTCATGAGTCTCCTCGTGGTGGTTCTTGAAGCGCTGACTCCAGCTGCAGTCCACTCTTTGTGGATCTCCCCCACATTTTTGAATGGGTTTGTCGTCACAATTCTCTGCAGGGTGCGGTTATCCCTAGAGCTTGTACACTTTTTTCTACCACATTTTTTCCGTCCCTTCGCCTGTCTGTTAATGTGCTTGGACACAGAGCTCTGCGAACAGCCAGCTTCTTTAGCAATCACCTTTTGTGTCTTGCCCTCCTTGTGCAAGGTGTCAATGATTGTCTTTTGGACAGCTGTTAAGTCAGAAGTCTTCCCCATGATTGTGGTGCCTTCAAAACAAGACTGAGGGACCTTTTAAAGGCCTTTGCAGGTGTTTTGAGTAAATCAGCTGATTAGAGTGGCAGCAGGTGTCTTCTATATTCAGCCTTTTCAGAATATTCTAATTTTTTGAGATACCAAATTTGGAGTTTTCATTAGTTGTCACTTATGAATATCAAATTTAAATGTAATGAACATTGGAAATACATTGGTCTGTGTGCATTGCATGAATATAATGTACAAGTTTCACGTTTTGAATGGAATTACTGAAATATTTTCAACCTTTTGATGATATTCTAATTTACTGGCCAGCACCTGTATAATGAATGTAAATAATTTGTACAAACCGAGCATATAATAAATAAAATAAGAAATATTGTGCTGAGAAGTGCTTGTGGAAAAGGAGCATATTTTATCTTTCATTGTGTTTGATTGTAGTATCAATTTCTGCTCAAACCCTCTGCACATTTCTCCTTTCCCTAATAAACTATGTGCGTTGCAGTATGATGACACATCTCAATAAAACACTTAGTTTGTTTAATCCAACATATTATGATATGTATTACCAGAGAAAATTAGATATGACCCAAACCTACTAGAGTCAGGTGAACACATGAATGTTTTTCTAGTTTCAGGTGCTTTTCTAGTCAGACACAGTCACCTAAATGCTTTCCCCCAATAAGAACACCATGCATGGAGGTTGGAATCAACTGTAGAATGCAGATCACTTGATTTTCTGTTTATGTTGTTTGATTCAAAGTGTGTGTGTGTGTGTGTGTGTGTGTGTGTGTGTGTGTGTGTGTGTGTGTGTGTGTGTGTGTGTGTGTGTGTGTGTGTGTGTGTGTGTGTGTGTGTTTCCAGGATCTTACCTACTAAAGCATTTTTTAAACTATTGGATGAGCTCCAAAAAGTAGAAAATCATTCTCAACAGCAGGTGATGTATCAGAGCTTATTTAACTCGGATAAATACATTTTTATAGAAATACTTTAGGTTAAGCATTAAAAAAAACTCTATTACAAATACTGCAGATAGTAAAAAATGTGCCGTCTACATGTTTCAGAGGGAGAAAAATACCTTAATCTATCTGTACAGAATAAAACACACCCTTTTATGACATATTTCCTGCTCTTTGAACTGTGGATCAGTCGTATCAGAAAAAGGACGACCACCAATGAAGAGAAGATCTGTTCATCACACTTCATCAGAAGCAAGCTGTTCAGCAAAGGACAAATGTCCCCTTTAATCCACCAGTATGGGACAGACAGTTTAAACATAGAGTAGGACTTGAAACAAGACCTATTTACTAATGAATCCATGTTTGATTTGGTGGCAGTCACAGAAGGGTCTATGAAGGAGGCCAGCAGAAAGTCAGATGATGCGACAGAGAGAAGAAGGGATATTTTTTCTACTCTGGTGTTGGAAACTTGCTCTGGATAGATTTCACCCTGACCAAAGCGAAGACAAGTCCTTAAAGACATGCTGCGTGCTCTAGTTCCATCTTCTTAGGTTTGAAGTTCTCATTCACATCTCATCAGAACACTGTCTCATTTCTAGTATTCGATGCGTGATCCCTGTACTTCTTTTTAGTTTTACTTTGGGAAATTATATATTGTCATAGTTGAACTTAAAGTCAATATCCTGATTGTTATAATTACTGTAACCATGAACATTAAGATTATGTCTAAAAAACAACAGATTTTACCTAAAATATTCACATATTCTTTTACTTGTTCAGGGTGTATATACAAATATGGCAGATTTGATTTTCATGCGATGATTTCACCAACTTTATTGAGTTTGACATTTACAACACATTTATCCTTATTTAGCACAGCTAGTCAACCTTGCGATGTGAGAGTTTCATAAACCTAGCATTGTTAGTTTTAGAGATCTGCCCGTAAACACGAGAGGAGACGGAGCAGTTTTCTTGCTCTGCAGACACACCAATATTTGGCGCTTCACAGACCCTCACTGGTTGGTGGAATGGTGCCATGGAGCAAACCGTGACTAGCTTGATCTCTGATGATTGTTTGGGTGAAATCCCATAATTGTAAGAGTTTGTGAAAAGACACACCGGCATAATTTATGAAGTGAATGGAAGTGTAAATATAGACGTTGGCCCTATAAGCCAAGTTGCTGCTGTTTCATTTGATACTCATTGGTCTAACTGATTGATTTAAGCTTATCTGCATATGTCCACCTGCCTTTCAGCTGGTGCTAACTAACAGATCAGTTGCACCCATTGTGTTCATTCATCTGTGCTTCTGTTTGTGCCTGATTGTTGGTGAAGGTTTGCTGCTGTGAGGTTATTCGTGTGTGTGTGTGTGTTAAGGAGAGAGTGCGAGTGTGTGCGCATGCGTACATGCACATCTTGCAGAGGTCATTACGGAGACAGATGACAGAAACAGTTGGCTCTAAACAGGAAGAGAAATAATTAGCTCTCAGAGCAAGAGTGAGTGTTATCTGTGCTTTAAAAAAGGGGATCCTATTTTCTGGCCGACTTCAGTGTGTAAACAGTCTGGCGCTGAATGCAGACCGAGTTCAATCCAAGTCTTGTGCAGCGAGGCTAATACAGAGCTCGTTGGGAATAGTGACAATGCATCCCAGTCTCTGAGTGTGATTCCTTATTACACATTGTCTGAAGCTGAATACCCCCCCCCCCCCCCCCAACTCTTTGCTGCTCTTTGATTTCAGCTCAAAGAACACCAAAGAGGTAAATTATTCTTATTAGACAAAATCTTCTTCAATTTTTCCAGCGGTCTTTTTTTATTTCGCTGACAATTGTATTTTAATTTCAAAACAGAAGAATGTAGAATGACCTAAAAGCCAAAACGCACTGGTTCAGTGACTGAAATATATTTGATTTTTCATTAAGTATATATCTCTGGTATATATAGCTCCATATTCAAAGGTGTAGGACACTGAAAAACCATATTTTAATGATTATTTCTGATTCTAATGGGTCTTTCTGAGTGTTTCCGTATTAACGGCGTGGTCTCCTCCTTTTATCACCCTCGTCACCTGTCCAAGGTGAAACCATTCCTGTCACGACATGACCTTGCAACGGTAGTTTATGCATTTATCACGGTACGCTTTGATTACTGTAACTCGGTTTTATTCGGGGTGAGCCAGGGTTCGCTAGCAAGGTTGCAACTGGTACAGAATGCTGCAGCCAGATTTCTAGGAGGCAAGTGTTAACACGACCATATTACTCCTGTCCTGGCAGCCCTGCATTGGTTGCCCGTTGACACAATAATTCGTTTTAAAATCCTTTTAAAACGAATCCATTTTTAAGGCTGTTGTTGGTTTAGCGACCAGGAAACCGCAGAGAACGTCTGAGCTAGTAGAAGCTAACTGTTAGCATTAGCGACTCTACCACTCCAAATAACTCCTCCAGGCTTGTGTTATTTGTGGAAATAAAGCATCAATGTTGCAGAGCAAACAGAGTCAGTGGTAGAGTCATGGTGTTGTTAGCCAATCAGAGGAGAGATGTCCACATATCAGGAAGTAAGACTCCAGATCCTGTCGTCTGAAACAGAATTTTTCATACTGAAACAGGTGCTTCTGCCTTTATACCCGAACATAAAATGCTTTGTTTCAGTGAAACTCCGCCCACCCCTGCTCCAACAAAATGTGCGTACAACAGCGTCTTAGACGAGTCAGTAGCTGTATTGGCTACGGTAGTCCAGTGGTTAAGGTGTCCAGCCCAGCTCTCTAGCCACTGCTTCATCGAGCATCACTTCTAAAAAGAAGTCATTACTATCTTCGCTATGCATTTTTACACTTAGGAGCTTGTTTAGGGGTAAAAACCATCGACATATATATACTAGACAATTTGTGCCCATAATCTCCAATTATAAGTTTTTGTGCCAAAATGGGAGGTGGCAGACAATTCCATAAAAGGGAAAAGAGGTGGAGCTAAGGGTGGGACTGTAAGGCTGGGATCAAATGACGACACCCGTCGAACCGAAGCGATGTAGCTACAAGCTAGCCCAAGGCTAATGCGGAGCTGGTAGCTAAGCTAACGGAGGTAGCTACCTAGCTACAACCGAAGCTAACTGTGCACAACACCGGAGCTTCTGAGTCAGCGATGCGCTGAGCTGACCGCTGGGTAAAACCGTGTGGAACACAGAGGTCTCCCGAGAGCTCCACAAGCCGGCAGCCGCGCAGCAAACAGGTGCCGTTGCCGTCAGAGATGCGACGAGCTGCCGCTGAGGGGAGGCAGACCATACCAATAGTGGGAACCCAGCTCCACCAACATGTCATATTTCAACTCATTTTCTAAAGTGCAGCATTATGTTAAATGCACTGGGTTTTTACCCTATTACATTTAAATTTCATGGTTAAACAGTACATGTTAAAGTCTGAGCTCAGCTAGTGCAAGAGCGGCAGTGACCTAAAATACATAAATATAATTTTACTTACCGAAAAAAATGAAGTGGAGACTCCTTGGACACTCTATCAGTGCAATTAATACCACAGCAAGTCATTTTGTCCAACAATTGAACAAATAATATTATAAATAAAATAAATAAATAAAGAACGCACAAACGCTACAACTAATGGTCTTAGTTGAGAGACTGAAACTGACGGAGCAGTTTCCAGGCCAGACCGAGGCTCTACTGAGGCCTTTCCCCGGAGCTAGCTCTGTGGTCACGTGGGTCTGATGCTCATTAATTATACAGAATTTTAGGCTTTTAATACACTTAAACAGAAGAGTGAGAAAAACATTCACCCCCCTCAGAGTTGTCATCAGTGTAAACTAGATTATTTAAACCTAAAACATGTTCTGGTACCAGGCTGTAAACATGTTTATTTCTGCTGTGAAATTGGTATTTTTAACATGGGAGTCAATGAGGATTTGCTCGCTTCTGACACCAGCCCCTAGTGGATGAGGGTGGAACTGCAATTTTTGTCACTTCCTGTTTTGCTTCATATCCAGACCCGAATTATGGGGGCTTGGTAAAAACACACACACACTAACTCAAAAGCAATGATTTTAGGAAAGGATCCTATTCACATAATCTCCAACACAGCTGTACTATGAAATGTGAAGAGCGCATTTTTCCCATCTACAGAATGTTATTTTGTAAAAACTCAGGTTCTTAATATTCTTTTTTAAATCTGTTGAATGTCAAAGAGCATTCAGAGCTGTAAGACCTAAAAGCCATCATTATTCATCCTGGAGGTCATCTCCTTTGAGACGACCCTACAGCTGAATCGTGGGCCCAGACTGAGCAGTTTGTTTTATTCATGAAGCTCGTTTTCTTTCCCACTCTGCATAAGTTTTCTGGCTAACACTGGTTAGCTCATTTAGGTGAGTTTGAACTCACATGAAAAATGTTTTTTCAATTGGCATTTCAGCCCTGAAAGCTTCTGCTGTATCCATAAGCGTGCTGGCCTCTCCACCTCCCATTAAGCATAATGCAGGGTGGAAATGTCTCTCTTAACTCACTGAGCACCTCTCAAATCCCGCAGAGACCAACAGTCAAAAATGACAGATCGGAGGGCACCTCGGCGTGGCATTTAAGGCTGCTAACGAGATAAAGCGCCCAAGCTTGGCACCTCTCACCCGCTCGCTACTCCTCCGTCCTGCTTACTGTCATCTGTGTGGCTAAAGAGCTTTAGCGGTGAAGCCCATGAAGTGGGGGCCACAAGCCAGCTTGGCTTCATCCCTTACTCACACCCTCTTCTTACCAGTCTCCCTCCTCTCTTTCTCCCGGCCTTAATTCCTCCCACCACTGGCACATAATTAAAAAGTGCTGGGCTCAGTGCCCAAGTGGCTGAAGGCTATGAGTCACTCCCCAGGCTTAGAAAAAACCAGGGATAAATCACCTGAGGGAGGAGGGCCGAAACCTCTCTCCTCTTACACCTGACTTCATGTGGGGGGACCACATTACCAGGCCCTCCAATTACCCTGTCCTGCTGGCCTGAATTTATTTGTGCCTCACCCCCACCACCATAAAATTATAACTTGGCGTAATAATTTTCTGCTTGATGCAGTCCAGTCCAAGGTTAATAGCTGCCTAGCTGACTTTGAGGAGGCTGAAGGATGCTGCAGTTCCAATGCTCATCTCCTCCCCTTTTACATCCCGTCCACCTCCTCTTGTTTAGCCTGTAAAAGTATCGCCAGCAAGAGGAGTGGAAGTGGCTGGAAGGAGTTATTGTTCAGTGTAACCCTATTAATGGTCCCCAAGGTGTTGTAAGTGCCTTTCTTATGGGAGAAGCCGCCGTTGATTCTCTGATCAAACCTTGAGACCCTCACTGGTTTACAGCGTTTTGGGCCCTGAACTGCATTAATCGAGGGTCTTCATAGAATAGATTTTCGTCCAATGAAAAGAACTCACGAAAGAGAAGTTCCCATTAACGGCTCATGAATGAAAGTTTGTTTGCAGAACTTGCGAGGTCTAAAGCCTTCACTGCTGTGCAGCTAAAGCCTCGGGTCAAGGAAACTCTCGAGCAAGGACGCCCAGGAGCATTTCTGGTGTGTTGGGAATGTTGCTGCTGAGGTGTGATTGCAGAAGAAGTGATTAGTTTGTAAATCTTGCACTCCTGGTTATGGGATGCCCTGCTTGATGGCGCTCTTGAGGGGACAGAAAACCTTTGGAAACATAGGTAGCGCTGATTTAGGGTCCATGTTTTACCAGATAAACTTCACTTTAGCGCAGAAGCTTAAAGCGTCTTGTTGCCTTGTTCTTGAGTGGTGGTAGGACGAGTCAGGAGAAAGAGCAGTGGATAGGGGGCTTTGCCTACAGAGGAGTTAAGTTCCAGCTCCATAACTAGAAGGTTGCAGGTTTGCATCCCACAGTTGGAGGGAGTCGGTGGTGCCTATGTGCATGGTAGCTCGGAGTAGAGCTGCTGCTCCTCTTCAGTGGAGGTGGATCTGACTGGGATGCCTTCTGGAAGAACATACTCCAGAGCAGACCTAAACTTGCTGGAGGGATTAAATGTCTTCTCTTGTCCCAGGATGTCCTGGGATCCACCAGGAAGAGTTGGAATGTCTCACTAAAAAGAGGACTTCCCTTATGTCACGTTATCTGACCTTAATCAGAAGGAAATGGCTTGGTTGAAGATAAGCTGATTAAAAAAATACACATGAACATGTTTTAACTGTTAGCTGGACAGCAATATCAGTAAAGTACCGTTAGGCTAAGACATGTGAGCAAACGTACAAGAAAGCTAAACAAAACACATTCAGCGTAAGTCCTAAAAGTGTCTCAGTTACAGATTTAGAAGCTGATTATGATGGAAACCTTTTGTCTCAGCGAGTGTGTTAAAGCGGGAGGTTGCCGTTGGTGCAGAGGTGCACTCAGTGTTTTCTAGCTACTCCCTGAACAACAGCATCTCATTTGTCTTTCTCTGCGTTTGTTTCAGATCCACATCATTGACTTTGATGATGAGAATAACGTCATTAATAAGAATGTCCTCCTGCACCAAGCTGGGGAGATATGGCACATTGCTGCCAGTCCTGCAGATAAAGCTGTGCTCTCCACCTGCTATAACAAGAGTGAGTCCTACTGTTTCCATCTGTCTTTGGCTCATTTCACCGTCTCGTTGTGTTTGTTACTCTTTTTGTTCACTCAAGTCTTATTTTCTACGTAATTCATCTTATTTCTGCAGTGATTCTTTGAAACGACTGGTCAGGTACAGCCAGGCAGTCCTTTCAGGTTTAATAGCACCAGCTGTGGTGTAAGCCAACGCTCGGACACTCATCAGTATCAATGCTAATGCATGAACATGATGACCCACAAGAAGGAGAACGGCTGGAGCGACAAACCGGCTAGGATCATTCTTCACACATGGCTACCTCCAAACGTTGGGCTGTTTGAGCTTAAACCAAATTATAATCACAGTTATTTTACTTCATTCTTTTTAACACAAAAAGTTACTAGGCAACACATTTCAGAGTTCCCATGTTAAGGTAGCAGGGTCCCTTGTTAATTGTGGGAGTTACGTTCTAAAAATAACTCGTATTTACTTAATTTTTTCAGGTATTATGCTGTAGATGTTTGTAGCGGACGCAGCTGCTGTTGGGGTCACACACACATGAAAACACTTTAAATGTACAAGAAATAATATTCATGTTTGTGTCAGTTATGCTGCTTTTTGCGATCGTCTGAAGCAGAAATAAAAAGTCACGTGCCGGTTTTATGAATGAACCATTTGACTGATCTAAAACTCTCGTTACCAAAGAGTAACGCCAGGTTAGCATTTTTTATTGAATGACTCGCCATTAGTGATCATCAGACTGGAGAAGATGCCGTTCCAGAAGGAACACGGGGTGAAGGAAATGTGGGACGTGCGGCCGTAACCTCTGGGACAGAGCGTCGTCTTTCATTGTGTGTCAGCAGACTTCTGCACGCTTGAACTCACAGGGTGACAGCGGCTCTGGCGGCCCTCCACGCGCTGCTGCGCACACCACCCACTCACACAAAATATAGATTTTATCATGAACACACACGAGCGTCGCTGTATCACTTCCATGCTGCCTTTCAGTGGCACTGCAGCATGTGAGAAGGCTTTTCTCTGTGATGATTACTTGGCCACTTGCTAAAACCACTCAAGAGCCTGTGGATCCGCCACGTGTTTCGTTTTAATTTGACAAATAGGCCTAATGCCAGTGTTTCTTAGCCCAAGAGCCGCCTACACACTGTCAATATCTACACCAGAAAGAAATTAGGCTGTTTCGCTCCCCGTCTCTCTGTCTGATTGGTTATACTCTTGAGCTTGAAACTTTTATTCCAATTACTGCATCGGTTCCTCTGCCTCCAATTAGCAGCTCCAGCTCTGGGGTGGATGTGCCAAAATGACTCATTTACGATGTTGATTGGGAGGAAAGTGCATGCACGTCAGTGCACATTAGCGGCTGTCCGACACCAGCAGACCCACCGAGGTGCATTCCCATCACGCAGGAGGACAGTCCACTAAATCACATTCACTTCCTGGAAACTCGACCTAAATCATAATTACGCTGTTTTTAAAGCCTTGTGTTGTTTTTATCCAGCCAGCGACAGCAGGGTGGTTTCCTGTGCTGCAGTATGGCGGATGCCTTCCGACTGGGAGTCGGGAAGCCATGAGTCACCAGATGACTCCGCCCACAACCCTCAAACACTGGAGCTGCTCTGTCGCCTAGACGACAGCTCCCATGGAAACGCTGCCTGGTAGGTGTTGCCAAGGAACAGTCGTCGTAACAAAGCAAGCGCTTCAAATGTAATTGTACTTTTGATTATTTGTATGGTGGGCTATTATTATTATTATTATTATTATTATTATTATTATTGCAAGCTGCATGATGCCTGATGACAGGCTTTCCTAGTGAACGTGCTTTCACTATTGTCAAGATAAATTCATAGATCTTTATTCACTGCTTCCAGTTTTCCCGACACATAACTTACAATAAATCAGTGCATGACAGTCCAGACCATCACGCAGCAAATAGTTGGCCAAACACAGTTTTATTCCTAGATACCTACGTTTTCCATGACTGCAGTTTGGCCAGGGATCGGTATTGATCCACCTTATCGGCGCAAGTCATCAGCTTAGAAGTCTTGGCTTTCTTTTTGCCGAACAACCTCCAGGACATTTTCAACACCATGAGTATTTTTGATGAGACAAATACATAATTATTTTAATACATCATAATAGATGTTATGCAACACTGTCAGTTTTCATAGCATCACTCTGAAAATGGTAGCCATTTCTAGATTAAGATGAGTTTGTTTCACTAGCCACACGCAGGTCTGGGTACGAGCAGATCTGCAAACATTTAAATGAACCTGTCTGACAACATAAAGCAAGCTAAACGATCTCCAAAAGCAGCACATCACTCTTGCTCTAACGATGATTATGATGAGAACAACAAACATCTAGGTCATGATTCACCAATAAAAAATGGCCTCCATGGCCAAAACCTCTGCAGACCAAAAAGAACACAAAGACCCGCTTCACCGTTACTAAAAACTCTTCTTGAAGATCGATGAACCTTTTTGGTTAAATATTCCGTTACCGATGAGACAAAGGTGGAAGTTTTTGGTAGGCGTGTGTCCCATTACATCTCTAGTAAGACTAACATCAAACCAACAGTCAGGCATGGTGGTGGAAGTGTGATGGCTCAGGGACTGTTTTGCTGCCTTAGACCTGGACCACTTTCTGTATCTGATAGGATCATAAATTCTGCTCTCTAGCAGAAAATCCTGAAGTAGAATATTTTACCTTTGACCTTAAACTGATCACCCCTGCTGGAAAACCTTTAATATGACTAAATTAAAAGAAAACAACAAAGACAAAGTGGCAAAACTTATCTTTACAGTGGTGTGAGAGACCATTACTGTAGCTTTAGAGGGCCTTAATAACGCACAAGGCCAAAAGACACCCCAAACTACTGCTTTTGACCGTGTTTGTAAAAATGCTATTTTCAAATTCAGTTCAATTCAAATTCAAAGATACTTTATTAATCCCAGAGAGAAATTAGAGTTTCAGGACACACAATTCTGAGATCAGACATAAATACATAGGCATAGTCACATGACAAGAATTGGTGACTGTGGTCATTCGCAACCCGAGTCGCACTACCTTAATAGATAAAGAGGGTTTACATGAGGATTGAGTCAGGTGGAGGAAAAAAAGGCACTTCAGAGTTACCCTCCACAGGGAGGGCAGCTTTGCTCAGCAAAAAACACCTCAGACAGAAATGCAACAGACGTCAGACATTACACAACATAAGTGTCCACTAGGTGGGGTGATAGGGTTGGGGACTCTCCACACATCATTGCATGCATCTGCGATGAGCAGCGCTCGTCACCTCCGTTTGGACAGGGGAGGGAGGTATTTGGGTTGGAGAGCACAGTGACTCCTGGAACGATTCAACGGCCTTCACCGGTCACAGTCCCGCCCAGGCTGGAATAGGGGGACAGAGTTGCCATGGCGACGGCAGCATTCCACATTTCTTCTGAGGGGGAGTAATCGCTTCAGCCTCACAGGCTCAAGGGCACCAGATTCAGGTAAGAACTTGTTTTGGGGCCAGACAGAGATAATTTCCTCTCTGTCTTAAAGTTCTGTTGGTCTCCAACCCCTCTAGATCCAATAATGGCGTAATTAATCTATCCCAACCGTGATGTCCCGTCAACTCGCTCCTTGATCGAATCCACCTTCTGTGCCAGAGTCTGAATCTCAGCCAAAGTTCCAAGCTTACGACTCATCTCGACAAGTCTATGAGTTTGTGCGTTCACAGCGCGGTGTAATCCATCCCTGAGCTCCGGGATTGAGCCAATATTCCTCGAAAGCTCATTAATTTTCCGGTAAGCCAGGTAACCGCTCAGGCCAAACAGCAGGAATTCCGACACCAACACCACGAATATCCAGACGTCTTCAGAATCCTCTACAGACAGTTGAGACAGGCAGATCAGGTCCCACTGTTTCCAGGAGTCCATGATGTGCCCAGCTGGCTCTGTCCCAGAGGCGGGCATCCGGGAGCTCCTTCTCCCGTTCTCATTGTTGAATATATTTTGTCAATCGTGTTGAGAGACCAACTGACCAGGTCCATTTTTAATCATTTCCAGTTCCCAGAAAAAATGCAGAAGCACCGTACACCCAAAGACAGACAAGAGCCTTGGGACAAGATAGGGAGGAGAGGAGGAAAAAAGCGTCTGAACTCTCCAAGAGCCCAAAGAAGAAGCACATGCAAACTGGAGCTTGGCTGCTACTGAAATGATTTTACTTGTATTCACAGCCTTCAACAGTCTACTAATATGAAGCTGTGATTGTTCTGCATGCAACATTACATCTGTTACTCATTAGTGATAAATCCAGTGCACCCCAGTTCTCAGTGGTGCACATTCTCCACTGAAGCCCAAACTCACTCTGCTCATCCGTATGGATGTTTTAATTGAGCTTGCATACAAAGAGATTTAAGTTTATGCATTTGGCAGACACTTTTGTCCAAAGCAATCTACAAAGGAGGATGCACCTTTACATTTACAACCAGGGCTAACAATAAACTACCACATCCAGTGACTCTATCCCCTAGCCAATCAGGAACCTGACAGTCGACGATGTTGCGCTTGCGGCACGGCTTCATATGCATTGAAGCAGGTGCTCAAAAAGTCTGTGGCATCCATGGAGGTGTTATTGCTGAAATGTCGTCTAGCCGATCCATATCACACCTTTGGTGCTAATGGAAATGCAGCTTTGGAGCTGTGGTGCTCAACTGTGGAATACAAGGACCTAAATCGTGTTAACAGTTCTCATGGGCCTCAAAAACTGGATTATTTGTAATTAAAATAATAGAAAAATTATGTCATGATTTTCATATTGTTTTTAACCCAAAATATGTCCAAAACAAACAAGTTTGTACAATCAGAACATTAAATGTTAGAAAATGTCCACCTACATCACCAGCTTGGAGGGACAGTGTGCCAGCAAAAGAGGCAGTGCACAAAGTGAAGTATGGAAGGAGAAGTACCAGTATGAAGAACAAGTAGAAGCAAGGACTTTTCCTGAGAAACCCTGTTTGAAGTTATCAAAGTAGTGGTCAGGGGTGCAGAGGAGTGACAGAGAAGACCTCCGAGGATCCCTCTTTGTGAATCAGAGGATCGTGGGCCAGTGGAAGCTCAGACTAGTGCATCAGTGGCAGAAAATCTGATCAGTTAGGACTGTCAAGGTAGATATTCATGTCACCAAGAACCATTATGGGACTCATGCTCAGAAATGGAGGAGATCAGGGTGTCGGCCTGGTGGGTGACACACAACCAACATGTCAATGCTGATCGTTGCAGTTACCAAGATGACTTGATATTTAAAGGTGGTAAATCTAGCACTGAGTAGCAGTTGGTTGGAAAAGTCCGTTCCATCACCTCGTCCTGATGTAGACGTGTGGGAGAGAGCAGCTGGAGTAGCATCAATGTTAGAGGTTTAAACCAACTTCTGTTATTGATGATAAAGTACACACACACACACACACACACACGCACACGCACACGCACACACACACACACACACACACACACACACACACACACACACACACACGCACACACATGTATAAACAGAAAACTGGTTAGGCCATCATTGGATTTCAGTACAGACTAATCTATTGAAGCAGCCATAAGTAGGTGGTCTGTAATGAAAGAAGGTGTCGTGTGCTGGCTTTAAAACCACACTGGTGGACAGATGGACATGTTTTAGTTCTACAGAAACCCAACCAGCCCACACACTCCATTATACTCTGAAACAAGTATCCTCTATAACGCTCCTCTGTGTGTGTGTGTGTGTGTGTGTGTGTGTGTTATTATTTTTCTCTGGATCAGACTATTGACTGGCCCACATCTCAGATTTTAGTCACGGCTCGGTCCTTTTGTCTTACAGTCAGAGCTCCTCGCCATAACTCACTGCCTATGAGAATGAAAATCGATGGTCATTCCCTCTTTTACTCGGCTGTTCGTCGTCTGCCTCATGATTGCTATCATTTTTAGACATGCCAATCAGTTAGTGTATTGTAGGAGGTGTCTGCGAGGTGGAGATAAAGATGGGGGTGGGGGGTGGCGGGGTGAAGTGAAGCAGGAAGAAAGATGCAAAGAAGAGGGAGAAGACATTAGTGGTTTGTTGGCATCTCCTTTGTTCTTCTCACCGTTCTGAACTCGATTTTAGGTTGAGACTGTTGTTTTAGCAGGTTTTAGGGCTGTTAAAGAGGGACAGGAGTGTGTTAAATGTGTGTGTGTGTGTTTGGGCGTTGGAGGCCAGGCCAAGTGAGGCTGCTGGATAAAGATTGATGGCTGTGGGCACCACCATTTCAGCACCCTGAGAGCTGTAACCCTCACAAGGGCACCACACTGTGCACATGCAGTATATATTGTGTGTTTTTGTGTTGTTGGACTCTGAATTCAATGTTGTGAAGCCTGCCCCCGATGCTGTGCACTATTGGCTTCCCGAGATGGATGGCTTTGGTCTGCTGCCTGCCTCCTCCATCTCCCTGCAACACACACGCACGCATGCACACACACACACACACACACAATCACTCATTGTGATAATACTGGCAGCTTGCACCAGTCCGTGCGTGTCTGTTTGTGTGTAAGAGGACAAAGAGTTGGTATTCTTATGAGCTTTTTTCATTCGTGTGTGCGTGTTTGTCCACCTGCTTCGTGTGTTTGCATCCACCGTAGCG